GAACAATAACTAGAACAACCCAGAACAACAAAGAAAATTTGATTTTTCCAAAAATGGGGGGCTAGTCAAAAAACCTGTTTTTTCGGTTTTCTCGCGGAGTTGAAACAATCTAGAACAACAATAAAAAATTTAAAAATCAAAAAATGGGGGGCTAACTTCCCGCACTCTGCCGAAAGTGACTTTTTCTTTTAACAAATTTACCCAACTAATGTGATCGTGATTTCAAATTTCGATAAGTGTTAGAATATTTGACCGTAAGTTTAACTGTTTTTAATTTTGTTTATAAAAATATTTAATGTGATTTTCAAAATATGTAGATTCGGCTGATGATGGCTAATTAATAAAGCCGAAACCGGTACCGAGGATATTATAATAAAGAGCAAGAAAGAAGTTTTTTGTTTTATTAAATTTTATTTCGATTATATCTTGCAACATGGATTTTACAAAAAAAAAAAACATTAGAAAAAGTTATAAACAATGTCGGAAAAGGGCTGAATTATGTGTTAGTGTTGGTGGTGGTATTATTGAATAAGCTTTTATGTTAATTTAGTTTAGACCGATAATGTTTTGTTAATCTTTTGATTTAAGAATCTGCATTTTGCTTTTATACTATAAATTAATAAAATTCGGCATATCATTTTATCTTAATCAACTTTTGTTGTACACGGTCAGCCAAACTCGACGCCCCACCTTTTTTATGGGAAACAAGTAAAATTTTCGAAAAAAAAATTTATACCATTTTAAATAGTATCTTCTCAGCTTTAAGAAACATCAGACGTTACAAATTTTGGACGGCGACGCATACAAATTTATTTTTTCAACGAACACATTTGTGGGTTTACATTAAACACTGTTATGTTATGGTTTAATCACTCTATTAGCAATTTATGCTTTAAAAGAAAATAACAATCTGTTTGGTGTAATATTTCAGTGTGCATCCGTTCACCGTAAGAGTAGCTTTACACGTGCCTGATGGATGCGTCCGGTGCCGGACTGGCGCCGGTTTATAACCCTTTACACCTAGCCGATTTTCTACCGATCCGGTCGTGTTCTTTAATTGCTCAGTTCAGCTCAGTCTCGAAAACAGGGATTATGAATCGCAAACGTGTTATTGCTATGTTGCTTCTTTATCGAAGACGTCGTCGTCGTCGACTTCAGAAGGAAAGGAAAAGACTATATTGGGTGCACCCTATAGTTCAAAAAAGACTCCTTGTTGGGGGCATTTTATACTTTATTCTAAGAATTATTACAACATGACCAAAAATTCTTCAACTATTATTACGTATGTCCATCGCTTCGTTCCATGAGTTAAACCACAAATTAAAGGACGTTTTACAACGCCAGGATACAGTTATGAGGGATTGCATTGAACCTATGCAGATGTTAGCAGTAGCAATAAGGTAAGTAAAAATTTTTTAACTTAAAACTTTTAATATAAACTTAAAACATTTACATAATTATATATGTATAATCATTAACGTGAATCACTGCCGAAATCAATCGAGGATACGGACGATGTCTCGGACAACATTCCGTCAGGAGAAAAGCATTGTTGCCCATATGATGAATAATACTGGCGTGCAGAAGTCGTTTGCAATTCCGACTGAGTCCATCGGCTCTTGATGCTACCTGTAATGTGTGAAATTGGCTGCCAGTTCCAGTTTCTAATTGTTGTAGTTTCTGTGTAAACTGTCGACGAACCTCAGAGGCTGGTGATCCTTGTAACATATGATATTGGCTACCAGTTACAGTTGTATATTGCGTCTCTGGATATCCCTGTGATGCATCATAATGGGATTCAGTTGGTGAATGTGATGTGAAATCATGTGATTTATCGTTTCCTGTCATGGACTTCGCAGTTGCTGATGATTTCTCTTTTTTAATAGTCGAAATAAGTTGAAGAACGCCCATTTGAAGTCGTATAACGTCATCTTCATCGAAAGAATTCAGAGAGGAGATAATACCTTTGAAGAATGATAAATGTCGATTTTCTTCTTCACTATGGCCCAGTATCTGTAGCATTTTCTCTTCAACGGGATCAATTTTAGTCTTTTTTATGATTTTAGAACGATTATCATATCCTGGTATTTTGAAAGGGGGATTTTGTGGCATCTTTAACTTTTTTTTTCGATTTCATGTACGAGTCGCGAATATTCGACCATCTCTTCAGAACTTGCCTGAAACAATTTTTTTTATTTCAGATATCTGGCGAGTGGCTGTACCTTCACTGACCTACATTATACCTATAGACTAGGCCTAACAACAATAAGTAATATTGTCAGAGATGTGTGTTTAGCTATATGGAATGTGCTAAGATTAGAATGTCTACCTGAACCGACAAAGCAAAAGTGGGAAGGTATCGCTTCCACTTTTGAAAAAAGAGCAAATTTTCCTAATTGCTTAGGCGCAGTTGATGGAAAACATGTTAGGATAGTAAACCCAGTTGGATCTATGTATTATAATTACAAAGGGTATTCATCTGTGGTGTTAATGGCTGTTGCGGATTCCGATTACCGATTTATTTATGTCAACGTAGGAAGTTACGGAAAAGATTGCGACTCCTCAATATTCAAGAACTGCTCACTATGGAAATCAATTTTAAATGGCGAACAAGAAGTGCCCGAAGCAAAATTCCTTCCAGGTATGACGAATAAAGAAGTCCCATATTGTTTTGTCGGTGACGAAGCATTTGCCCTACACCAGCACTTTCTTCGACCCTTCGGTGGACATAATCTTACCATAACCAAAAGGATTTTTAATTACCGCTTAAGCCGAGCCAGACGGTATGTAGAATGCACATTTGGTATTTTGTCCAACAAGTGGAGAATATTTCATCGAGCAATAAATTTAAAACCAGATTTTGCAGTGAATATAGTGAAAGCCTGCGTTGTTCTACACAATTTTGTTCGGGAAAGAGATGGTTACAAAATTGAAGATACGTTTACTGTGACTGGACTGGCAGAATTACCTGGAGCAACTGTAGTACGTGGAAGAACCAAAGCTAATGATATTAGAAACATATATGCAGATTATTTTATGTCAGAAGTCGGATCAGTCAGTTGGCAAATGTCAAAAATTTAACAAAATAATAAAAAAATATGTTTTATAAGTACTTACCAAATTTGTTTTTTTCATTATCATTCATATCGTTAAATGTTGGATCAAGCGCGCAGCACACGTCTTTCCACGCATTTTTCGTCAAAACTTTATTTTTGTATTTTTCTATAGTTTTGTCCCACAACACCGGCTGAGCTTCCACCAAGCTAATCAACACTTCAATGTCTATTTCTTGCAACATTGTAATGACTACTAGAAAATTTAAAAAATCGCAATACCGGCTAGCCGTATAGACTACCGACACGGTACATGTGAACGCTATAATACAAATACTCATACTACTACGAACCATCCGGTACCCGGCACCGAGTCACAGAATAACCAGAAAGGACAGCGACGGCGGTCTCGTTGATGTTCAAGGGTTCAAATTTGTGGTCTACTGACCTACTTACAATGCGTCCGCCATCTTACTAGTTGGAATATTAAATATGCGAATTTTAAAGCACGTTTATTTTTCGTGAAATAATAGGCAAATTGTATATATATTTTCTTTTGGAGTTTTAATAATTGCAATTTAATAAATTAGGAAAATTTATTTTGAGCACAATCGGATTCATCGAACATAAATGAGGTTAAGTTAAAGGGAATTGCATCGAGATATACTATATTTACTGGAGTGCGTGCTTTGGACTAAAAAACGAGCCGGTCGACTCGACGACTTCCCCCACCCTATAACGGCAAGAAGCTTCAGTTCCGTATGTAACATATAGGTGTTAACGTGTTGTTTAAGTGAATAAAGATTGCATTAAATACATTTTTTTATAAACTTTTTAATATTGTGTTTAAATTAGTGTATTATATAAATCTATAAAGATGGTAAATTCTTGTTCTGCATACGGATGTACAAATAGACAATCAACAGGAAGTGGTTTACAATTTCAATTTTTAGATTCAGGTTTGTGGTAATATTATAATATATGTATAAATGTTCCAGATTTCCATTAAATAAGCCTGGAGTTTTAAAAAAATGGATAAAGGAAGTACGCAGGAAAAATTTTAAGCCAACAGATTATAGTTTTCTATGTAGTGATCATTTTCTTGCTACGGATTATCAAATACGACCAGGTGCCAGCAAGGGATGGCTAAAAGAAGATGCATTTCCTTCAGTGTTTAAAGGATTTCCAAATCACCTTCAAAAACCTCCTCCATCCAAAAGACGTTTATTGTCTAGAGTAATTGAGAAAGAGAAAAAGGTAAATACCATTTATATTAAAAATATGTTGAAAATTAAAATATGAATTAGTTTTGTTTTAATCTTTATAGGCTGATGATATTGAGAACATGCCAAGTACAAGTACTACACCCGACTTATCTGAGATATCTGAACAGGTAAAACTTTATTATCTATTATCGAAGAGATCACAAAATTATAAAATATTTTTCAGAATGCAATGCAATGTGATGTGGGT